ATACATTATTTATCTCTAGAGAGAGAAAAATTCATTTGTTTTCAAAAGGAATACAATCTTACTTCAACCCTCAACTTTTAATGTTATTTTATTTTATAATTCTCCAACATTCGGTGAAGGAATTATACTATTCATGTTGTTCCCTTCATTTTAACAAGATTGGATGAAAAATTACTATAATACTTCATTTAAAAAAAATGTGTCTTCGTTTTAAATTCTTCAATTCTTACAATTTCAAAATCAACATTAGACAAACCTGCCACATATAAAGTTATTTTCTACTATCGCTATCAATATAACCATACACTTTACTAATCTATCTAAGCAGATACATCTTGGATAGATATCCAAAAATTCGTTCTAGATTGTAAAATTGGAACAAATTTTTCCAAAGAATATTTTAATCCTAATTGTATGTGGAGAATTGTTTACTTTCACTCTTCTAAAATGTTCTTATGAAGTGCTTGACTTATTGTTATTTTTTAAACCCAGATTTTCAGTGTATCAATATTTCAAACTATAAACTTTTATCCCAATCCATTTACTCTCTAGATAATTTTGATTTTTTATTCTTCAAAAAAATAAATTTTTTCTAACATACTTTTCTAAATTATATCAATTTTTTTCAATTTTCATCAATATATTATTTAAAGAATAATTCATAAGAATAAATTTTTTGTAAAAGTAAAAATATTACATATGAAATAAAAATAATAAAAATTTGATTAATGATTTTGGAATATATAAACATGTTACCAATGTTTTTATCATATAGAATGTACGCAAATTCATTTCGAATTTTACACAAATTTTCCATGACTTAACGTTAATATCTTTGATAGATTATTCTATTACATTTGTTCCAATTTCGTAAACCTCCGAAGAATTATGAGGATCGGTGGAACCCGCCAAACCGTCCTGAGACACGAAAGAATAATGATTATGTGCACTAGTTCCCGAGGAAGTCTCATCCGCTGGCGGTGATGACTAACGACGAAGAAAATCTACCTGGAGACTTTATACTTTTCAAAAGAGGGGTCTCGCCTTTGCGCAAAGGCCTAAAGGGTGACATTTGGTCACCTGTCCAATCTGCATCTGGTTAGTCATGGGAAGCTACAACATCAGGTTCGAGTCAAACATAATTCGTTACGACTCTCAGATTGTGATTAACACCAGCTATCACATTAAGGTCAAGTATGGAGGTAAGTAGAGGCTGATGATAGATTAAGACAGCGTCAAGACATGACTTGAAGCATGATTGTTCGAGTATCGCGTAAACACTAAACCGACAAACTTTGATGAAATGATCAGAGTAGGGTAGATATCGCAATCGTCTCCACATAAACTGTCCACGTAACGAGCTGGTACTGGATTTCAAGACAAAGCTTACGTCAGCAGAGTCACGCGAGAAGTATCTCAAGAAGGTCAACAAAAGAGAACCACATGGTCATCAGATGTAATAGGTGCTGTACACCATAACCATGTCTGAAAGTTCTTCCTGCTGAACACCGTAATAATGGTGATCTGACGTGGTGACAGTGTCATGGACATGTGCTTAAAGAGAGCACAAGACATTAGCCATAAGCCATCTATTGTCCACTAACTCTCATGTACAGATGCTGTGAGTAGCAGATCCAGCCAGCTTCTTTTCAGATCTATTCTCAATTGCAGTCCGATGAAAGTTTAAATGTCAAAGCTGTGCCCAAGCGACACCCCATTGAAGTTGAGGAGCTTACATTCGCAGAGTAAAGATTGAGTTGACTTCATGGTAAATTCCTTTATTGCCTCATCTCTAGTCAAATAACTAAAGCTGCGAGAAAACATCGATCTGACCTTCTATATCACAGCAGAAACTGCAGCGGTTGCTGTCAAGACAACACTCCCATGTGGCGATCATCAGTCAAGAATCAAGCTCGTCTTTTGTCTTCGATATCAAATTGAACTACATTCAGCAGACTGAGAAATTTCGAACCTTTTTCAATTTCGTCCTCAAAACCACTGTGACACACCTCGAGGTATACAATCCTCGGCTTCTCAGATATTTGCAAAGAGGCCTGATGCACTGATGTCAAGTCGTAGCAAGTGTACATGATTCTAAAAATCACCCAGAACCCTAACCTTAATCTTAGAGAAGATTCAGGAGCAGAGAAGTTACAATGGAAAACCTTTCCGGAGGTCTTTATAAGCCCTCAATCTTATGACTGGTTCTTCTGCATACTACTAGAATTAAGAGAAGAGGGACCCACCTTTAACAGCAGGAACAAGAACGTAGAGCACCACTGTGATGAAAATTTGATGAAGGGAAATAAAATAATTATTTTCGAAATAAACTACTTTGCGAATCACATGCTCTGGGCGCTATTTCCTCTAAAGCTTTCCTGCTTTACGTGCTTTGTTTCGTCATTTCCTTATTCTTTATTCTGGCGTAATTCTCTTCATCCTTGTTCCGTTGAGACATGATAAGTAATCTAAAAAGATGCAATTATTCAGGTAGATTACGGAAAATTAAGTGTATTTATCTGGCTTCACCGTGTTCCTATCCACTTTGCCAACAGCTGCTTTAGTGAAGTATGCCACCGGTTGTTATAATTAGAAACTCTCTTCACGGTCTATTCGACAATCATTTGTTTTCTATTATATGATCACCTTGAGAAGAATGGTGTAGGAAAACCAACCTTAACCCCAGACTAAATTCGCTGATAAACGAGTTTTGCAAACGGAAAGTTACTACTGAACTTTCTGTAAGATATTAGGATCTGTCCGTGACTTGCTGTTCTTGCGTTTTCTTGTTGAGAAGTTGATCCAGTCTTGATAAAGGCTTGTTATCTTCTCCATATATTGTCAACTTGACGTAACGCCACGTTGAATATACTGCTCAGGGATTCTTCAGCATGTGAAGAACGCAATGACCTCTGTGTACTATGCAGCACTTCCTCACCTATGATATATGCCTGCAGCCCGACGACACGAGCACTTCCTTGCTGAATGCAATCGTAGGTGCTACAGAACCAGCCCTGAATCACCAAAGTTTTCTGACGAAATCTGAATGTACTTCAAAAGATCAACAGATGCCCTCCAAGCAGCCATTATAACTCCAGTTTCAAGTGTTTGCGATACAAACTTCATTATGCTCAGCTTTCAACAGCCCAATGAGCTGGGACAGTAGTGCATTATTTAAGTGCTATGAAAAATGAAGTATTTCTTTGTTCTTTTCTACACATAATATTTAGCCTACTGCAAAGTTGTCAAGAACCCCGGAATGATATTCAACTGCTTTATTTTTCCTGCTCATTGTACAAGCATTGAAATGTGGGTCGTCAGATCTACAGTCCAATGCAGCGGCAGACTTAGAACTTGGGGAACAGAGCTACCACCTTTACAACAGACATTGAAATCCACAACAGTAAGTAAGATTTATATGTCTTATATTTTACGTAAATGAGGATTTAAAGCACCAGCAAAACATATCGCACATCTTCAGAAAGAAAATGAATTTTCTCCCTGTCAGGAAGCCTCGAGACAAAGATCTCCCATGCTCGAGCTCTGTGCTCTAAAATTGTTCATTCGTTCCTAATGGCCCCATGAGAGGGTCATAGTCGGAGACACGTATAACACCAGAGAATCCCATACATAAAAAAAATTTCTTTGATACTCGATGCGTCTTTCTCTCATTTCGGTTATATTAATATATCGATGTCTTGATCACCTCTGCCTCTGCCCAGACTTAACAGGCAGCTTGCGTTCTGCCACCATAAGAGATTGCAGGATGCTAGCTTGTTCAATAATGTGAATCAATCACGTTTTGAATAGCGCGTTACACATACGGCTAACATCTCCTCCCCAGAGAAAAAAAATTGCACGAGACCAAATCCTGAGCCATCAAATCTGGAAAGTATATGATTAAGCTCAGTATCTATCCAGTCCGGGGGAACCCCTGACACTAGTGAGCTCTTGCATACGAGAATCAAGAGTTAAAAATGAAGGCCGTGAGAAGGATTCTTTGCATATGCCAAGAGCTAAGCAATCTTGGTGGTTAGTCAGTTGAGCAAAATGGCTAATTAGGGAGAGCCAAAAATAGTGCCAAGACTGCTTCCCACTAGACCAATCTGTGACCCTTCAAGGTGACAAAGGTGTGGAGAGTTTGGGTTCAGCATGGCAGGACAGCACGGGACCGGAGCAAATGATAAAACAAATGAAGAATAGGATAAGTTGCCAGGGTAGCACGACGATTCCAGTTCGTCTGATGACGAGGATCAATGAGGCCGAGTGAACAGCAGCAGTGCTCTACAGCTCCAGTCCGCAAAGATCTGACAAGAATGGGCACGTCTCACTCTTTCACCCCAGTGACGTTTGGCAGAGATCGGGCATAATACGGAGAAGAAAAACATCTCCATTAGCTGCGTGCAGATTCCTGCAACATGCTTGCAAATGACCATCAATACGGAGAAGAAAATACATCTCCATCAGCTGCGTGCAGATTCCTGCAACATGCTTGCAAATGACCATCAATACGGAGAAGAAAATACATCTCCATCAGCTGCGTGCAGATTCCTCCAACATGCCTGCAAATGACCATCAACTGGATTCGATGATGGAACTTTTCTTAATTGATGACCCGGCTCATGTACCCAAAGGCGCCGGTCCTATCCTGAAGTTTGGCCCCTATATAAGCTGTCAATTGAGCTTAATTTCTCAAGTTCTGGAGCAGCCGAGAGGTAAAGCATGGTCCTTCAAAGTGCTAAGCAGAACTGGTGGTCCAATATCTTTTGGATTCTCTACTGCTACTTCTTATAACCTTCTTAGGAGTGTATTGGTGGAGAAGCACATAAAGTATAGACCGCTGGCTGCTGCTGGCTTGCAGACATCAACCGAGCGTACATCCCACTCAGACTGTCATCCTACAGATCAAATCGAATATTATCCTCGGTCTAAACCGTACTTAGGACGCATTTCATTTGTAGCAGGGACTTGTTCGCAGGCATTCCTACCAAGCTACCAACGACCTCGAATTTTGACGACAGTCTTCCAATCAGATTGGCCTTTCAGCTGAAGTGGAGCTCACCGCTCGTTGACCGGCTGCTCTTATCACTTGTTGCGCTTGACGTGGACCAGAACTGTTGGCCTTGAGCTCTTCGGTTTCTGCTCGACAGCAAGTTGCAGCTTTCGTAGAACTCGCCCCTCGGCTTAAGATGGCAGGCGTCCATCAGCAGACGGGAGGACCGTATGAAACAGACGCCAGCAATATTAAGATCGAAGGGGTCAGCGCGGCACGAACTGAGAACAGGGACTATATCGAACCAGAGCCACATCTTATGTGGACTATGGATGAATTCTATATATGGGCGTTCTATAGAGCTGCCATCGAAGAGTTTATTGCCACTCTCCTTTTCATGTACATCGGCGTTTCTGCTGCCATTGGAAATGGCCGTACCAGCCCCGATGAAGTCGGAGTTCTCGGTGTTGCATGGTCTTTCGGAGCCACCGTATTTGTGCTTGTCTACTGCACAGCTGGTGTTTCAGGTTCGCCCTTCGATTGCTAACCGGCTCTAGAAGAACTTGCAGTCAGATCGTCCGAGGCTCCATCGTTTCATTCTGGTTGTAGCTACAAGCGTTTTGATGAAGAAGTGGTAGCTGTTGTGATATGATATAAATGTTCTCAGAGTGAAGTCCATTGTTCATGTCTATCCTATATGGCAGTAGTCCGATCAATTCCTTGCTAAGATTTATCTGTTGGTGTGGACAGGAGAACACCTGAAACCCGCAGTTACTTTGAGAAAACTTCTGGGTAGGAAGATTTCGCTTCCTCAGGCTTTCATGTACATTCTTGCCCAGATCGCGGGGCAACTATGTGGAGCAATAATCGTGAAGGGCTTGGAGAAAACTCTATTCCAGGTGTTGAGCGGCGCGACGAATACCGTGAGTGCAGATTTCAGCATCGTCACATGTCTGGCAGCAGAAATCATCGGAACTTTCTTACTGGTATTATTTCTGATGGCTATTAACAAGAAAAATGTACGTGAAAAAAATACTAAAATGGAAGAAGACAGGAGAGAATCAATCGTGCTTCTCGTCAGATGCCCAGTACTGAAGAAAACTTCTGAGAAAAGCGACTCAAATCTAGAAACAGAGCAACTGAATGTCAGAGTCCTTAAACTTCTTCTAGACCAACACACTCAACTGTTCATTGTAATTATCTCCCAATAATCAGTCAATTACTGTAGGACCTCAAGTTTATCAACAGTCCAGGTTATATGCTTTGCTGCCAAAAAACAGCAAACGGCGGTCGCCGAAATTATAATGACAAGTAGATCTAAAACCGAATGATTTCCTTTCACCCACCAGGAAGGTTCAGAAAACATAAAGCAATCAAATCATGAGTCGTTTGATGATTAACGACGGAGATAATGTACCTGGAGACTTTATACTTTTCAATAGAAAGCTATCGCCATTGCGCAAAGGCCTAAAGCGTGACATTTGGTCACCTGTCTAATAAATCTGCATCTGGTTAGTTGTGGGAAGCTGAAGCATCAGGTTCGAGTCAAACTTAATTCGTTAGGACTCTCAGATTGTGATTAACACCAGGTATCACATTAAGGTCATGTATGGAGGTAAGTAGAGGCTGATGATAGATCAGGACAGCGCGAAGACATGATTTGGATCACGATTGCTCGAGTATCGCGTAAACACTAAACGGACAAACTTTGATGAAATGATCTGAGTAGATGAGATATCGAAATCGTCTCCACATAAAATGTCCACGTAACGAGCGGGTAATGTATTTCAAGACAAAGGTTACGTCAGCAGAGTCACGCGAGAAGTATCTCAAGAAGGTCAACAAAAGAGAACCACGCCGTCATCAGATGTAATAGGTGCCGTACACCATAACCAAGTCAAAAAGTTCTTCGCCACCATATTTATGCTTCTCTACTGCACAGCTGGTGTTTCAGGTTCGCCCTTCGATTGCTAACCGGCTCTAGAAGAACTTGCAGTCAGATCGTCCGAGGCTCCATCGTTTCATTCTGGTTGTAGCTACAAGCGTTTTGATGAAGAAGTGGTAGCTGTTGTGATATGATATAAATGTTCTCAGAGTGAAGTCCATTGTTCATGTCTATCCTATATGGCAGTAGTCCGATCAATTCCTTGCTAAGATTTATCTGTTGGTGTGGACAGGAGAACACCTGAACCCCGCAGTTACTTTGAGAAAACTTCTGGGGAGGAAGCTTTCGGTTACTCGGGCATTCATCTAGATTCTTGCCCATATGGCGGGGATATATGTGGAGCAATAATCGTAAAGGGCTTGCAGGTAGGTTCCACAACCATTATATCTGAGTGTTCTTCAAGAGTGAGTTCCCAGATGAATCAAATTGTAGCTTCTGAAGCTGGATCAGGGTCACAGGATTCCTGTTGAACTGGTACAAATTGAAGACGAAACTTGATGTCTGGAGGCGCTATGATCTCGCAGGTGCTCGCCCCATTGCCCATCAGGCATACAATTTTTGTTTTCCATCTGGCGACCATTACCATCACTGGCTGTGGAAGCAACCCTGCACGGGTATGGATGATTTTTTGATTTCATCTAAATGTGTAAAAATCCAAGTCGCACTCAAAAGCCGAGTACTCTACCATTGAGTTAGCAACCCTAAAATAAATTTTGAATTTGAAGCTGCTCAAATCAAGCTGCTCTCTGGAAGCACGAGCAAGCTTGGGATGACCAGGTGAGTCATAATATCTCATCTTATCCCACTTAGATGTGTTATGTCAAACTCTTCCCATAGACCGAATTCATCAGCAAATCCAAGATCCAGACTCTCCCACTCGCATGAACATTCTGCCTGACAGCAGATGCCAGGGCTGATAATTTGGGACATCTGATTTTGCGCAGTGGATCTTCTGGGCTGGTCCCTTCATCGGAGCTACCTTGGCTGCCGCCTATAACCAGTTTTTCATCCGTGCTCTGTCGCTAGGATCACACTTCCTGTTCCCGACCATGTCCATGTCCGGCTCCATGAGCATTTCAGGGAAAAAACTTGAGACCAAGCTCTCAGGGTGAGGACGAAAATACCACGGATATTAAATCTGCTGACAACAAAACGTGAAGCTGAGGTTCAGGCTCGAGTGCATATACTGATCTGCAGTGATATTTAGTGATACCAAAGTGTGAAGGTAGTCAAATTTGTAACAGACTATAACCCAATACGTTCAAAACAGTAGACAACATTTGTTGCACTCAACAAAACTCTCATTTGTTGCCTCGTTTTTTCATAGTGATGAAGTGTGGTCATAAATATGGAACCAAACCATATAGTGATAGAAGTGTGGTCATTCTGGTTGCATTATGTGGAACCAAACGAAGCTGCATAAAGTAAAGCCTCAAACACTAATATCAAATTTTGATTGAGATGTAGTTTTCATTCTGACATGATAATAGGGAAGTACATCATGATAACTTTGAGGCGAGGAGCATGATCGTTTTGAATTGGTACTTAGTGTGAGCTCCAGGAGAAGTGGTACATATCGTGACTAGCAATTATTGATGAAAGATACTATACATTTGTGGCCACAATATTTTCTCACTATTCGTTATGGGGAAATTAATAGTTCCTATGTTTTTCTATTCCGATGAGTGACAATTTTAGCGCATATATAATCTAAATTATTAAAGAGAATTAAGAGGCTTATGGTTTATACCTACACATTTATGAGTGATTTAATTTCTTTGCAAAATGGGTTTATTTTAGAAAACGTAAAATTCACAATAATTATACAACTCCCAAACTGGACTCAAAATTTTGATGTATTTCACACATAACTCATCTACGTATATACAAGACTGAATACTCACATCGTTCTTGTGAGTATTAAAACTTGTTATATATTCTTTTGGGAAACCTGACATGAATTTTTTATTACAACTTATACTTCAAAGTAATGTATGTCATATGAGATACAAAGTTACCTAGATTATTATTGGATTCGCGCTTTAACTTCCACTAGAAACTCTAGTAGCGCATTTTCATCATTTCTAATACATATTTTAACATTTATTAAATATAGAATAATATTTTTAAGATAAATTCGTGAAATTAAAATAATTTTGCATATAATATAGTTTGAAATAATTCTATATCTAGAAAAGATCGAGGAAACTGTATGATAAACCGCTACTCTCATGTGAAAAATTGAAGCCTGATGGTAAGAAGCGATCAGCCTATTCCTTGCGTTTGAACATGTGTGACAGATGTTGTACTTTTGTGCCTGCAAACACCTGCAGGTTCTCGCAAAGTATTTAAGGGTATTCAATTTCAAGAGGTGATCCAAGAACAAACGTTGAGTGCTGATCAGTTGCTGTGTCATAGAATGAATTTCAACATGTGATATACTCCAGGACACAGTTTATGATCATGGAGTGTAATTTCCGCACAATTCAAATTCAGCCGATCATGGAGGGCCGTGGAACGAGTCAAGACAAAGAACGTTTTTAACACTGTATCCGGATGTCGTAAACACATATCTGCTGGGTTCTGCTGGTCCGAGTTTCCAGTTTCAAGAAAAAAGAGGAAAGCGTTGCTACTGGAGTTTACCCACAGCATAAGGTGAGGAAATGGGCTCGAAGATTGCTCCAACTACTTCTCAACGCAAGTTCGTTTATTCCTCTTCTGAAAAGGGAAGGGTTGTCGGCGTGATTCAGTATGCGATTTGCCCTGTGCATCAACTTTACCTTTCGAGTGTCAAGAGTTAAGAGTTCCAATGGAATAATCCAAATGATTCCTAAGTAGTCTGAAGGCCAATCCAACTGGTTATCAAGGTGTTAAGAGAAATTGCACATGGACTAAGAAATTTGTAACCTACTTTATAGCATCCTCAACGAAGTTAGATGAAGAGTGAAAATGGAGGCAGTTCAGTTCCAAAGCAATCTTTGAGGGATAAAATTTGGATATTATCGAATTTGGAAGAAAGGTGGTAATAAAGTAACCTCGAACGTATGCAAGAGACTGAAAAAATATGGAAGCTAATTTCGAAGGACAAAGTGAGTGTGTACCAGACCCCTCCCTTTATTGTTTAATATGAGAGAAAACCCGACGGGACGGGAGTTAATTTATTTATCATAGGAGAAAAAATTACAACCTAGATGAATCTCAGATGAGGATTCATCATGCTCCCACCTGACATATTGTAATAACCCACTAAAGGCTAAAACTGCAATATAGTGGTAGAAAGGTCGAACCCACAGGGACAGAGGAACACACAGGGTACAAAGTGTCACGTTTAACAGACTATTGAGGAGTTTGAATTCTCAGGCAACTGTCACTCCCAGAAATACTGCAAGTGTCCACTCGGAGCGCACTCGGAGGTCGCACAGTGCAGCGTAACACACACACACACACACACCTGAAACTACAGAAACACAACCCAGAGATCCGTTAGGACCTCTACTCAAGATTTCAGGGGGGGAAAGTCTCTCGCGAGCACACTCGGCGAAGCTGCGGGTAGTGACTTCCAACTCCGGCTTTTACAACACTTCCACTAGCTTGCTGCTAGTGTAGGAAACCCGGTTTGGACTGCCTACTTCGGATCGAAGTCACTCATACGCGGTGAACAACACCCTCAACTCACAAAACGCGCAGAGAACACAGGTCCGCACTGAAGGACTCACTGAGAAACATTCCAGTAACACAACAACAGTCTATTGAAGAGTTTGAATTCTCAGGCACTTGTCATTCCCAGAAATACTACAGGGGTTACCCTCAAGGCACCTGCTGCAGCGTAACCTGAATTTACAACCAAGGCTTACACGAAGTAGCAAAACTTCACTTTGGCATTCAGGGGAAAAATCCCAAGGGAGTACAATCAGAAAGAAACACTCGAAGGTGTAGGGGCGAAACTGTTCAAGTATCTAACTAGTCACTGGCTCTGAGCATCGGCAGTCACCCGCAGGTGCAGATCCGAACCACTCAAGTCTCTAACCAATGTACTAGCTCTGAACGTTCGGCCGAAGGCCTTCAGCTACAAAATGCGGAACGCTAAGTTGTAACTCCTCCTGCGTGGTGACAGAACTCAAGGACACAAACACGCAAAGGAAATGGGTTCCTGATCTATACTTCTGAGTTTGGGAAAGAACCCCAGGCAAAACGCCTGGAACTATTTTATACCTTCTAAGTCCTACCTAGCACTACACTGCACTACGCTACACGCCTGCACGGAACCACGCTACACTACACTCCGCGGAACCTGTACTACGTCTCCTGCGCGGCCGACTGCCGCGCACTAACTCCCTACCCTGCCAATCTTCCGCTCGACTGCGCAGTCCCAAACGCTGCAACGCCGCGGACACCTCCACTTCGAGGGCGGACATGGTATCCTGTGCCTTCGACAGAAAGGCATCGAGCTTCTTTGCTACCTTCCGCCGACTCCTACTGTCGCCTGACAACAACCCGGCTGCGCGCAATTCAAACTCACGCAGTGTGAGTTTCTCCTGCGCCTTCACTTCCCAGTGGGCGTAGCCCTTGAGACAGTGGGCGACACGCCTCGCCGTCTCCACCTTCGTGCGATCCGCCTCCTTCCTGCGATCCTCTTCAATGATCACTAATTGCGATTCGGCTTCAGCACGTTGCGCTCTCAATTCGCCACACTCTGACTGTTACCTGCGGATTAACTCTTCATCCGCCTGCCGTGCGAGCTGACATTGTTCCA